TTATATTCAATAATAACAATAACAGTAGAGAACCACTGATGAACAGTACAGTGAATCCAAACAGTGAACACAATAACTGCAGGAAGTTTGTGTAAAACCAGAGATTTGGATGGATTTTGAGCGGATTATTTCCTGTAAGCATAAGAAATGAGTTTTATTGATATTTTGGAAACTTTTTATACAATTCTCTGTCTGTGTTAGTTACTGACTTGAAGTGATGCAAGTTACTGAAACGGACTGAAAAGTTATTAGACTATATTTATTACGTAGAATGAAAAAAAAACTTTAAGGCTGGGACATGTAGAATTCAGGACAGTTGCCAGTGAGGAAAAAGAATTATTTGGAGCCCTGAGCATTAGTGTTTTACCAGAGCTTATCGGGGCATCAGTTGCCTGCGGTTAGTTTTGAATGTGTGTGGTGTGTGTGTGTGGTGCTCAGCCACTGTGGAGCATTAAATATTTAATATCCTTACATATAACGCACTCCCTTCAAAGATATCCAGTGTAACAGTAGTACACAATAGTCTAATAAACTGTGACTCTTCCTCTTCCTGTCGTACAATGTACAACGTGTATGACGGGTGAGTTTAAAATGAGATAAGAGGCCTTTCCAAATGAAGAAGAATTTACAGGCCTCCCTACCCGCTGATAAGATAATGCTGACTCGCTGCCATTAGTCAGTAATCCACAGACAGCAGCTTGTCTACCTTTCCTCAAATGACACAGCTGCCCAGCAATGGAAATGGACAACAAAGAAAAGCATTTAGAGAAAAGCCATTACTGTAGACACTGTACACCACAGACACTGGATTGAACAGTGGATTCTTTTTTAATACAAATATAAGGTCACCTAGAAACATGTGCACCTACTTCAGGCTCCATCATCCACTAAATTTATAATATAATTTTATTATATTAATAATATTTTTAACAATTGAGACAAATTCTCACCTAGTCTTTTAATACATACCTTCAGTATCCTTTAAGATAAAAAAAACAACACAGACACAACAGTCAAACAAAAACCTTGTTAGTTTTATATCTTTATATTTCAGTAATAATGCATATAATAGCAGTAAAACTGGTCTTGTAATTCAGGTTTTTTGTCCTTAGCTGAGTTGTGACATTATAGATATTGGATTAGTTTTGGAAGTATGTTTACGGTATCATGGATAACTGCAGTACACATTTTGAGTCAGTTTACCAACATGGGGGCTGTGGAGCGGGTCGTCCACTAATCGGAAGGTTGTTGGTTCGATCCCCGGCTCCTCCCCACCACATGTCGAAGTATCCTTGAGCAAGATACTGAACCCCAAAGTGCTCCTGATGCTGTGCATCGGTGTGTGAATGTGTATGAATGGATTTAGTTTCTGTTCGATTGGATTTTGCCATCACTGGGAGTGGAATGGATGTGAAAGGGTGAATGTGGCAGTAGGTGTAAAAGAGCTTTGAGTGGTCGGAAGACTAGAAAGGTGCTATACAAGTACAGGTCCATTACCATTTACCATTTCTACTTCCAGATAATTAAGACTAGATAATGTAGTAAAAAACTGGGAAACTGATCACAACCTGTCTGCTCACCTGAATACTTGGTTTGCTTGCAATACTGGACTGTTGCTGCAACTCCAGATCACAGCAATCAAATTAAAACTAGAGTTTACTTTGCAGGATAAGGCAATATTTTGATGACAAATCCCATGAAAACAACAAAATCAATAAAAAAACACACCAATGAGCCTCACTGTTGCACTGGGTAACATGTCCCTCAAGAGTCATTCACTCTTTGCATATGGTTTGTTCTTGCTTAACATCAGTTGGCCTGCCAATTTCCATCTTGCCCGCTGCTCTTTGTTGTATATTACTCCTCTTTTCTAATGTCTGTAGTACAACCTCTGAACATCTCGATCACTCCAGGTCGCTGGCTGTTAATTTAGAAAACGCTTGATTTGATATGCAGGGGAGTTTCCTATGTATTGTCAGAAATGGAATCTAATATTGATAGGTATGTTTTCATTAGTGTATCATCACCTGAAAATAAGAATCATTGTGTTTTCGTTTTCTTAGAATGAGCTGTTTTTATCTACATAGGGAGTCGGCCCTCTTCTACAGAGGCCGGCACTTTGAACCACCATGTTTCTACAATAGCCTAGACAAACCAATACTGGCTGTAAATAGGACCATTGCGTTTTTTGAGTAGGCATAAGGCATTCAGTTGGTTGAAATCAACTGTTGGTTGCAACTTCAACACTAGATACTACTAGATGCCACTAAATCCTACACACTGGTCTTTTTAAGGTCATTATCATCATCAATTATGTTTATTTAATTGTTCGTGATTTCAGACATTATAGGAGTTGTTTTCTAGTCAGTGGAAACCAATGGGCGTGAGTCTGAGAGC